TGTGGCATATTTTACTTCTTTTATTTACTGTTAGGTGACAGTAATGTTGCTATTCCCATAGATATTAAAAAAAAAAATGGGTTCACTTAGACAGACATTCCCAGCCGCCATAAAGTAATTATACAAAGCAAAACCCCAGTTCCACCGGCATTCTGGGACCCAGGGATTTCAGAGTCATTGTGCCTCCAATTTAGTGACTTCTCTCCACCTCAACAAGGTTTGAAAATTTTCTATGACCTGTTTCTGTGACTGGCTCCATTTTATGCAGGATTATGGATCCCCAGGCAGGCATCGCTCGGCAGGAAGGGGCTCTGAGAACAGAGGGAAGCGTCAGGCCGCAGCTCTTCAGAAACCGCAGGAATAAATTGATGCGCGCCTTCGGTCACAGGCAGGACGGGTACATAAAAAATTATCACTTCAGCTGTGCTTCTGTTTCCTAAACGAGAGTCTTGGAGGCGGCGGACCCTGCTGGGATGGCGAAGGTGACAGTTCACAATTTCACAGGCCCCAGGGCTAAGAATTTAATTTTCTTTTCCATCCAGTTTTGAAGTGGCACTGCTCTCCTTTCCCCGTGAGCACAGAGAGACTGACATAGATGCAGAAGACAGAACAGGTTTGCTTCAGCGCTGGAAAGTTGCCTTAGTTCCGCTCAGCATAGGCTTCGGTGAAATGCTAGGTGCAGTCTATGTTGTGCTAAACCAACAATATAACTCAGGTGCTAAGAGGGTGTAGAGGAGTCAGCAGAAGTCTCCACTTGGGTGGAAGCTTCGTGGTGGAGATGCCACGGGCCTGGGCCTTGAGGGGAAAGCAGGGCCTCGCTGGACGGAGCATTCTAGGAAGACAGCAGCAAGAAGGTGCTGGGCACCCATGGTGGGCGTGGGGCTGGGTGCAGGTGCACGTGACCTTCTGAACTCCTGGAAGCCAATAAAACATCCTTCAGTCACTTTTAGTCATAAAAATAGCCTCAATTCAAAAACTGAAATACTCAGTCCCATATAATAGTGGAAGTTCCAACATTTAGCTTAGTGTTATATGTTCGTCCTTCAGCTTTCCGGCCCCAGGTCAGAAGTGGGGAGGCAGGTGTGCGGTTCTGCCCCTGCTCTCTCCCAGCTGCTTCTTCCCATAGGGAGAAGCTGGAATTTCAGACCCCTCCTGGGGCGGAAGCAAGGGACTCCCGCTTCACTAGGATTCCCTCGCGGGTCTGGCTGTAAGCTCCGTGGGCTGTGGGGGAGCCTTCCATGGGCCCATCACAAGGCCCTGGAAGTTCCCATGACCCCAGGGGCCTCAGCAACTCCCTTTGGCACCCAGAGGTAGTGTGACCAGCCTCCTCGTGCTGGGTTTTCCTCACTCCACCAGTCAGCCCTGTACAACAGGCCCCCAGGAGGCCTTCCACCAGGTCTCTCCCCCACTTGGCCCACGTGTGTCCACAGGAAGCAACACACATCCTGTGTCCCCACACATTCCAGGGGAGCAGGCTGCTCCCGGCACAAGCACCTCCCCTGGCTCTGCCACCACAGCAGCTATTAGTCCCTCCCCCACCCTCTGGATTCCCATGCAGGTGTCAGACCCCAGGTCCCCCCACCCGTGTCTCCCAGCTGTGGGGAGCATGCTTCAAAGCTATCTGGTTGCCCCATGGAAGCCCTTGCAGCAAGTTGAAATTCGAATAGCACACCCTGTCACCCCTTTTCCAAAGAAGGCCTTTGTCTGTGCATGTGGATCCATCCACGGATGCATGGATAGATAGATAGATAGATGATGGATGGATAGAATAAATGACATTTATTTAATAAATGGGGTCATATCACTTTTAATAAAATGTATTGAATTTCACTTGAAATTAAAAAATGTAAAAATCAAATTGATCTTTTCTTCACAAGAGATATTATTTCTTAAAATATCCTTCTAAGGATAAGAAAAACGATTGATGAAAACTTAGTTTTCAATCATTAGTTCATTCTTACACGCTTCAATTTTTGACACAATACTACCACTCTGATATAAAAGAATGTTTTCCCAATTCCTTGATTTTCTTACGTTATTATTTAACATGGCCCAGGTTCCTGCCATACACTTTGTATTCCCTAGACATCATTCTTAGGGGTTTTAGTATGAGATCTCTGTTAAAATGGATTCAGTGCACCTCCTGTCATTTTATTACAGCATCGCTATGCTTATGTCCTTTATTTTGACTTGTCGACTTTTCCTAGATTCATTAGCAAAGAAATATTCATGAGTGTTGTATGTCGTGCATTCTTTTATATTCAGCAATGTGTGCCAGAAGCCAGTGCTGAAGGACTTCTTCATTGGCTATAATACTCTTGGGTGAAAATTTGTTTCTCTTAGAATTTTGTAGACATTTTCCATTAAATATTGGGGAAGTGAGGGAGCAGCAGAGGACAGTCTGATTTTCTCCCTTGTAGTTGATTTGCTTTTTTCTGTTAGGATACCTGAGGATTCAAAGTAGAAACTAAAACAAACAAACAAACAAACAAACAACAGAGTTATTGCAGGACCAAGTGTCCTCTGCCTGTTTTAATCACCCTTCCTAAGGAGGAGCAAAGGTCTGCAGGCACATCCCCCTCTCCCCCCCAGCAAGGCGGTGCTGCTCAGATCCCTGTGGCTGGTGGGACAGCCCAAATAGAAATGTGCCTCTTTCCAAAAGTTCTAGCACAAAGAGAGTATTTTAAATAGAATTTAAAAGGAAAATGAAGGTTTCTATAAAGGAAAATCTAATCTCTCTCAATCAGAATATTCAATTAGTCAGAACAGTACAGTCTAAACATTTGGGACAAGTCACTAGAGATTAACCAAAGAATTTAAATGCATGCATGCATAGCCCAGGGGCACACACAATAGTGTGGTGGTGTGGTGAGGGCCTGGGGAGGGGTCAATAGGGGATAAAAGGGGGACCTCTGTAATACTTTCAACAATAAAGATACATTTTAAAAATATAATAAAATAAATTTAAAAAACTAATGCATAAGTTTTCCTTTTGGTTCAGGCTTGATTAGAGGAAAATCATTAATATATACCAATATGAGCCTAAAGTTTACCAAGTACATTTGACTTATGGGGAAAAAAATGAGATCTAGGCACTAGTCATCTTTAACAAGGTTTATAAATTTAAATATTGTAAAAAGTTTCTAATACTGCTTAAGGGGGGAATCAATTATGATTAAATAAAAACTGATTCAATATCTAAAATGACAAATTTATCTTAAAATAATTATAAATTATTACAGTACAAACTTTTACCGAAAGAGAGCTTTTACCCCCTTCTAATTGTTTTAACCCCTCGAGCTACTGCCCTCTGAAGTGATTATAATTCGGCTACTTGGAATATTTTGCGAGGACTGAATACATCTTCACTCACAAGACTCTTCCCACTGAGATTATTTCTATCAAGACCACAGCAACAACTAGATTTTACACACTAACAAGCGAACAACAGCAAACCTCTAACTGAAAACCAGAGTTAATTCT